GGCGGTGGTAGTTACTAGGCTTGTTGCTATAAAAAAGATAGATAAATGGTTGGAGGACTTTGTGTATAGAATCTTAGATATCAAGCAGCCAGGGTGTAGGGTTTAGGCTTTAAGGAAGTAGGATCTGTGTGGACAGCGTGACATTGAGAGCTTGCCCAACAAGTACCCAGCAGTCTGCAGAGCCACGCGGTTTAGGCTTATTTAGGGTTTAGGGTGTAGGATTTAGGGTTTAGGGTTTTGGGTTTAGGGTTTTGGGTTTAGGGACAAAATCTGCACTTAGATTTAGAATCGAATTTTCTGGGCCGTAGGAGTCTTTTGTTTTAGACGCATACTTGTACTCGCAAACGAGTTTCTGATCTCTTGTTCTACCCATGGCAAAACATGGACCACTCAGCAGAACAGTTTTTGTAATGATGTTTTCTCGATTTGGGGCTTCGTTTACTTTATGCTCAGAAAAGTTTTTGATCTCTTTTTGTACCCATGGCAAAACAGGAAAAACTGATTATACCTTTTTTCACCGCTCACATACACCAAGACACCCTGCGCCGCGCACATACACCACAGCAACCACACCCTAACAGCACAGCACCTACACCGCACCCGCATCACAGCAACGCGGACGCCAGACAGAACAAATAAGAGTGTTCTCCCGTCCTGTGTTCGGGCACACTCTGCATGGACCTCATTCCTTCATTCCTCACTAAGCGCCGGCAAGTTTATGGTCGACGAGGTCAGTCGCGCCGAAGCCGCCGGCATAGTCGACGACGTCGGTCGTGCCGTAGACGCCGGTATCGACGATGTTCTCGTTCGGGCCGTGCTCGCCGTTGTTGTTATGACGGAGTCTTCGAGCTCGTCGCCGGTGTAGTCGAGTTCGTCGATGTAGCCGTCGCCTTCGCTGCCTTCTTGGCTTCTTTCGCTTCCTTTGCCGCAGCCGGGGTCTAGTTGGGCGAGCCTGAAGCTGCTCCAAAGACAGTCGCGGTCGCTGGTCACCATGTCGGTCGAAGCCTCGGCCCTTTCGTGCATCTTGAAGCGCCCGCCGTTCATGTAGGAGCCGTAGACGCCAAAGGTGCCTGGTGGCAGGGGCTTCTTTCCAAAGCCTCCTTTCTGGCCCTTTCCTTTTCCAAAGCTCTTGCCCTTGCCATGCTTGCTGTGCTTGCCGCGCTTGCCTTTGCCCGTGGCCCGGTCACGGGCTTCGAAGAACACCCACCTCAAGTACTCGCCCGCGTACTCGATGGCTTCCGTTTCCTTTCAAGGAGTCCTGGGGCATCTCATCCACAATCACGCAGACCTCACCGGAGTCAGGGTCGAAGTCGAGGAGGTCCTGGAAGACGGTCATCTCCTCGCCGGTCTCTCCGCCATAGCCTTGGCCGTCATTGCCATAGAAGCTCTCGTCGCCGTTGTCGGCGTCCGTCGTTCCAAGACTCTTCCCAAAAAGTCTTCGACTGGCTCTCTTGCGGAAGTCGATGCTGCCATCTGTCAGCACCCTGATCCTTTGCTGTTGGTCCACAGTGAAGCCGCCCTGCTTGAGCAACAAGTGGCCCAGGAGGTGATTGCCGGCGTCCGTCGCCAGCATATCCAGGCCCTGCTTCTTCAGCTCTGCGAAGGTTCGTGGCCAAGAAACCAGTCAGGGTCTGTCCAGGTCTTCGGCGACCCCGAAAGATCGCCGCGTCGAAAGCTTGCTCCAGTCGAGCTTCCTTCAAGTAGGCGTGGGAGTCTTCGATGACCGTGATAATCTGCTTGTAGCCGTCAGGCGCGGTGATGTCGTCCGACACATGAGCCAAGGAAGCTGCCAGTCGGCTGCCAAAAGGTATCACGTCCAAGATCCTCTTCCCGATCAGGCTCGGAGGCAATCGGGCTTCAGCTTCTATCAGCCAAAGTTTGAGGTTCCGAGCATACTCCCGGTATCCACTTTCAGGATGCTCTCCGTTCCACGATGGCGCGGGCTCCATCTTCGAAGCGCCGGGCCTGGCCTTCATCCGACCCATCCACGCCGCCCATATGGTGGCATCCCACTCGGTGACCTTGGCCTCAGGGGTGAGGTTGATCCAATCCACGCAGTCACCCGCAATGGCCTTGACAAAAACTCTCCAAGCAGGTCCTTGGAGCCCAAGCCAGTCCCCAAATGACTGGTTCAACCAAAAGTTTCCGGCCGGCAGGCCGATGCCACCCAAACAGGTAGGACAGGTAGTTGCGAAGAGGTCACGAATTGCCTTGGCGATGCGGTGAATCGCCGTCAGGTCGCAGAAGGCGGTCGCCCACGCCGTCGACGCCACAGCAGCGCCGGAAGAAACCAAGCGACCGAGGTCGTCACCCACTACCTTTTTCAGGGACTCAAGGCGCCTTGAGCCACAGTTGTCGGAGACTCCAAGTCGTGCTTGCACATGCCACTTGCATGCCCTCACCACACTCTTCACAGAACAAATCTGAGTTACTGCGTTTACAGTTAAGAGTGGCGGTACTTGGAACCGTTGGGGACCCTGAAAACAATTATTTCTGTGAGAATTGTGCGAGCGGAAGTGTGAGCGGAAGTGTGAGGTTGACTGTGAGCGGGAATTCGGAGTGTGAGCGGAAGTGTGAGGGTGAGTGTGAGCGGGAATTCGGAGTCTGAGCGGAAGTGTGAGGGTGAGTGTGAGCGGAAGTGTGAGGGGGAGTGTGAGCGGAGGTGTGAGTGTGAGGGTGAGGGCAAGCGTAGTGGCGGGGGTATTTATAAGTACGTGTAAGATGTGCGGGAGCTTTGAAGGGAAAATACGGGTATCAGCATGTTGTGAGATGGTGGTACAATGGTGCAAGGACATATGTTGAAGTGCGGAGTTTTGAACTACATGCAAGGCAAATTCATTGTTCGCCTGTGGCTTCGCAGGCGCTTGAGGCATGAGGTAGCCAGATTCTGTGATTATTTGTAATGGTTTTTCCACAATTTTAAGCGGCAGTGAGGTCAGCAGCAAGTATGGCTAAGTACGGATGCAGTTTTGGCGATTGAACATTTTTGCTAAGTACAATTCAGCTGGCAGATGGCAGGTTGCCAAGGAGGAGAAGTACGGTACAAATAGAATCTGGTTCGTATGAGCGTATCAGTACATAGAATTATTTGACACGTTAGATTGTGTAATCTCCTTTCCTTGGCCACCCTTGCCTTCGTTACCCGGTTACCCTTGCAAATGGTCAACATGAACTCACCTGTGTCGATGCCAACTGCAATGGATGCAAATTGGGCGTGTGCAGAAGCAGACGGCGTGCTGTCACAGAGTAGGTTGAGCCGTCGTAGTGACTCAGCCGAAGCTTTGCGATTGCCCTGGGACGACGAGGATCTGCTAACGGTAGCTCCTGTTGCTGCCGCCTGTAGCCCTCCTAGTTTGGGAGCGCCGTCCCCGTTGAGGTTTGTGGGCAGAAAGCCAGAACTGCCAGTGACGGCGCCTTGGTGGGCGTACACACTCCGCGAAATGAGCAAGGATGAAGCAATACCAGAATTTCGCAAGGCGGTCAATGTGATGTCTGCGTGCAGCGGCATTTCTGCTGAGAGTTTTGT